TGATTTAGATAGAGTGTTACTCATTTGGCAATGTAACGCACTGTAAATMAGGCCAATAGASATTATAGAGCTCAGAYTATTTTGTGTGTCAGGCGCACACGGCGCAACTGTTTAATTTGCCGTAATAATTGAGTTAGATACATAGAGTCAATTTCGTATGAGTGGGAAACGTACGGTAGAAATTACTRCACGGTTACCGCACAGTTACCAGACCTGGCCCGCACAATTTTTGTGAAGCAATGACACACTAGAATTTGGTTACAATACGATTACGGTCAATTTAGTACAGTACCGTCCATTTCCCACTCATACGAAATCTGCTCTAGTGAGGGTTAGTCATTTCGCAAAGTAACACGCTGTAAATCAGGTCAATAGAGCACTCATTATTTTGTCTTTGTCTCTACGCCATGGAAGACCAACGTGCAGCGGAGTCATAACTGGCTGGCCAGACACAGAGAAAATGTCATTATTATATCATCCCCATTTAGTTAGGAAATTCAAATTTTCAAATTCTATCCATTATTCTACAGAAAACCTCGAAATGACTGAAAAATGTTGACAAAAAGCATTATGTACCTAAATAGAACTGACCAGCCAGTTCTGCCTAAATGGAAAGCACTTAATATTTGTAGTTGAGATAACTTTACCAAAAAGGTACAAAGCAGCTTTTCAGGGTTTTTTAGCTAAACATGAAGGCAAAATTTTAGAGAAAGACGAAAGATGATAATGATGAACAAGCGGGAGTAGTGTGGATCGATATCAGTATTAAATGCTCCTTTCTTTCGTGACATAAAATAGATCACTTTGTCGTTCATAACCTCATAACTATTCCTTTCGAAGCGTTTTTACGTTTGTTTGAAATTTTGAAACACTCAGAAAAGATAATTTGACGTTTGGGGTTTGCAGTCAATTATTTCTGATGAACGATAAAAATATATCATGCTCAGGGCTCCCATTGATAACAGATTGCGTTTTGCATCTGATGGGGCTACCCTGAGCGGTATAAGTTAATAAAGGTTTATCTATCTATCTATCTATATTGTTAACCGAGAAGTTTATTATAACTTGTAAGCCGCACTTATGTTCACTGAACAAAAGAAACGAGCTAGTTTCCGCRTGCAGACACAAATATAAGGCATTACAATGTGGCGCGTGTAGTATAAATACCGTGTAAACTTGAACTTAGCTCAATAAACTCCTGAAGATTGAGGCTTTGCCTCATGAAACAGGCCTGTAGAGGTTTGACGAGTTTTATTCATAAACTCTCTAAATATCTATATTGTTATATTTGGTAAATTATTTAAATCACTGTTTTCTTGCTCTCTTGTTGGACGATTCGGTGTCACGTGTCCGCAGCTAAAATCAACTGTTGACTGATCGGTCAACAGTTTGAAGATTGTTGACCACTTGGCCATTGGCGGGAAAAGGCACCTCGTGTCGAGTAAAAGTTTGTAAATGCGGGAATGGTTTTTGCTGCTTTCGATTGTTTACAAAATGGAGCCGGCATCAAAACAGTTCAAATCTTAGTCAAGAAATAGACGAAATAACAAAGACTTGGAAAACACTAACAAAGCTACAAAGACTGCTTTGGCTACGACTCTGATAGAATTCTGCAGAGAAACCAAGAGAGAAACGGTGAATTTGGACAAATGTCAAGAAGTTAAATCTCTATTCAGGAACTCATTGACTGTTTCATTCATAAAGTTTTGCTACTTTTTTGGCATTTGTATATTTATATTAGTTTTATTTTCAAGTACAATGTAATTTAAACGCTTAACACCTTGTTATTTTGTCGCGACGGTCAAATATTATATTTATAATAAAGTATTTATTCATGATTATTGAAAATCATCTTGAAGTGTGTTTTGATTATTTTTATTCACATAATTTACCAATATAACAAAGCACTTAATGACTGTTCCCTCAGGAAACGGTTAGTTTTTGTTTCCCTCGAATCTGAATGTTTCCCTCGGCGTACCTCGGGAAACATTCAGATTCTCGGGAAACAAAACTAACCGTTTCTCTTGGGAACAGTCATTAAGTGTATATTGTACTACCCTAGAAAAAATCGAAATAATTATTATTCATTGTTTGAAATAAAGATTCTATGATTGTACTTAAGCTTATTATTTGATCGAAATTAAAGTTGATTTCCTTCACTCTCAACAACAAACGCACTATAGATAAAAATTGATAAATTCGAGGCAAAAATCGATAAAAATCGARCTCACACTAAAAAATAAAATCGATTTTTAAAGGTTTCAGATAGAAATCGATGAAARTCAGCTGATTTTTTATCGATTTTTATCGATATCGATTGTTATCGATTGACTACTCCAGGCATAACGTACCTGTTTCAAAGCCAACCAGTTTGATGATAGCTCTCCTGCCGATTTTGGTAAATGTGGCTGAACAACTTTTTCTTTTCGGGGTTTTCCTTTAAATTTCTTTGCATATGAATCAKATTTTTTCGACAAATTGCCAACTTCTTCACGTTTTCTCTTCATAGTTGACTTTGCACATGGCATATATGTTTATGAGACGACAGTTTTTTGTAACAGCGGCATAATCAAGCAGGGAACCCAAAAGCTCAACTCAAAACTATTTAAAACAAAATCTTTCGGAACAATAAGTTGTGACCAACTTACCAAATTAATCGAGAAAGTCAGTTGAGTAGGCCAAAAAACTGTTTAAGGTATAAGGATTTAGTTTAAAAGTGATATAGTGGTCGTTTTTAATTTGGGATCCCTGTGGATAACTCCAAATGCATGTTGGGTAAGTTTGTCACACYTCATTTCTTCGTCGTCCGGTTTGGTCGTTGGGATGTTGGTCTATGTTCTGTATCGTCTCTGACTTCATGGAAGAATTAGGAGCTCACTTGGTAATTAATCAACATTCGTTGAAGTAAGAATTTATCCACACTCATGGAAGTAAGAATGMTTTTTTAAGGCCCGTTTATACTTGCAATTTTTGCAGCGCGATTGTCGCGCGACAATCGCCTATTTAGTGTCGAACATGCTTGAAATTTAGCTGCAACTCGGGCGATTTTTGATCGCCGCGACAATCGCGGGGCTGTTTACACGTACGACTTGAGGTGCGAGAGAASAAGTGTAAACAGGCCTTTTGCTTGACAACAAACATTCCACTGTAACTTTGTTAAGTTATAACAATCAATGTGTGCTTGGTGCGTTATAGAAAAAGCTTAAATTTTCAATAGTTTTGGCTTTGTGGCTAAACCTACCGTTAAACACCTTTTTTTTTTCTATTCTTATCTATTCTCTATGATCTTGTGTTGGTTGAAGGAAAAGTTCCCAGAAAGAACTCTTGAGCTTGATGTTTGCTTTTAGTAAATCTAAAGCACGATGCTGACAAACAAACCATGTTCAGCTTTTCTTYACGTGTGGTTTTTCACTCGTTACGTTAGTGATTTGCATTTTCTCTTATGATTGCTGCGAAACAATGAAATAGATACAAAGGTACGAAAGCATAACTTAAGTTTATATAAGTTAAAGCTTTGTCTTAAAACATCGGTTTCAAGAAAGTTCTCCTGACTCTTTGTGTAAACAAACATTAGAGGGATTAACATGAACTCTGAATCGTCTTGTCTTTGTAAATGCTTCGGTGTTTAAACCAGTTTCACCTGTGTTGGGAAATGAATAATACAAGTTAGAGTAAGAACTGAGGGGGAGAGGTATGAGATAATTTTGTATTTGACCTTGCTACAGTGGCATTTAGCATTATATAGGGAGCCCAAGGTAGTTACATTCATGCATAGTAATTTGCATGAGCTTTAGGTCTTTTGCTAAGGTTTTAGATTATAATATTAAAAGCGTTTTCAATTTAGATATTTGTGCATGGTTTTTTTCTAATGTGTGACTATAACAATAAGAATTTCASTGCTACTTTAAAACATAAATTCTCATAAATCTGCCACACAGACAGCAATCAGCTTTTTTACACAATCACAAGTTAGAGCAGAAAGCCTTTTATTGTCTTTGTTGTGTTAATAAATTTTTGTCTTTATAAAAATGAGATATACTTCATTACTTCATTACTTTCTTCTTTTTATTGAGCTCTGAATGACTGTCCAGAATGCAAGTTTGCCAGTTTATCTTTTAAWATGTATTAAGTGGAAAATGGTGGAAATGCCATTCTTCAAAGTTAAATTCTTACAGCACCACCTGAAATCATTGAAACATTGAAATGCATCTGTTTCATGATTTATACAAGGTGACAACAGATAACAGCATATCACTGATTCAGAACAATATGATGAAAGACTAATTTACAGTACCGCCTAGAATCACATGTACCTTTGTTTGCGTGCATTTTGCGAACATTGAACGCCTTCTGTTCGCACTTTGTTCGCAATCTATTCGCAAAATAGTTTGTTCGCGAACATGTCATGTTCGTAAACACTGTTTATCAGTTACATACATGTATAAACATTTAAGTGTTAAAATCGGCATATATACATGCAAAAGGAGGCTTAAAAAAAAAATTCATGTCAAAAAGTCAACACAGGTCAAAGCTGCCACCTCTTTGGGTTAAGTAAACTCGGAGATTTTTCCAACAATATTTTGCAATTTCTCTCAYCTAAAGCTTGATATAAAATACAATTAAACACACAGTATTTCAAGTAAACTTAAGAATTGTGAATAAATGAACTTCGTTCATAGTAACTGTAGAACGAGAAGCTACGGACAGACTTCTTAAGTTGCTGGTTCGTCACCGTGCGAGTTTGACTCCCCGTGCGTTTCACACTGTGCGAATGATTATAAAAACCAGTGCAATTAAATGGCATTTTGTTTTTAAGATTTTGTTTTATGGAGACAGGAAATTTTTTTCTTTTTGATGTTTTGGAGATTCTCTTTTCTTTTCTCCTTTTTCTAATAATAACAAACATGTTTCTGCATTAAGTTTTGTTTTTAAGAAATTCTTTTAATTTTTGCGATCAGTAAATAAAATAAGGTCATTCACGGAAAATATCAATGCTTTTGGGAAACGCAGTGTATGTATAGGAAATAACATCAACAAAACATAACAATTCTTTGCATTGTGTTTCTACATGGGCCTCGCAAAATTAATGGCAATGATTAAACAAAGGTGTTTTAATATCAAGAATTTATTAGTCTTGTGTAACTTCAAATGCTAAAACACCTAAATAGGCCAAGTATTTACATATAAATAGGATTACCATAACATGAAATGCACCAAGAATATAATAATAATTTTACAAGTGATATTAACTTTCTTTGCTACTGAGTCGGCTTAGGTATGAGTCCATAGCTTTCCTGCATTCAGTCCAGGTTCTGTGGGCTTCTGCTGGTGCCACTGGATAGTACTCTTTTTAAAACAAGGCATTGGATCATTTGTACCTTGTTTTTGTCAATTGCCTGCTTCCCACAACATCCAGCAATGTTCCTTCCCTTCATTTCTTCTTGCCTACAAATTTCCCTCAAAACTCGAACAGGGAAGTTTTTGTGTGACGATGCGAGAGAATGAATTTCAGCTGGAGAAAAAGTGGCACCCTCATTCGTCCTGGTTATCAATGGGGTTTCCTGTTGTACATGAACAGGAGAAGGCATCGATTGGGGCGGGGATTCTCGGACAGTTGTCGACTGGTTTTCAAGTAGCATGTCTAACTTGTTTTTAACACGGGCGAGAATATCCAGCTTGCTTTCTATGTGTAGTAGAATGTCTTTCAAGGAATGATCACGAGGATTAGTGGGCGTATTCAAAACCGATGATAGAGATGACAAACTGGGTAGGTATGGTGGCGAAGAACAAAAACTGATGCTCTGGACGGGAGAATGCTGATGCGGCGATCCTAGTGGCGTCCGTATTGGAGTGTAGTTTTGCAGCACACCTAGCGGAGAGACTTTTAAACCACCTGGCAAAGTGTTGAATATAAGATTTCTGCGAGGAGTGTGTGGAGACGTTGCTGTTGATGGACCAGGATTATCGTTTAGAGTTGCGTGTTGAGGTGTTTTAGGACGGCTGGACTCGAAATGGCTTTACTCAGTCTTTCCTGGACTAGATTGCGCAATAACAGTTGCCAGCTAAAGTAAAAGAAAGATAAATGTTAGGTTTGGCTTGCATCGCGGTGTCAATGTGTACAAACAACGTCATTCATGCAATCAATGAAATCCAGTTAAATTATATACACGACTTCCATAACCTCTGATGACGCGTGAAAACTGGTAGCAAGTTTGCACTGAAACGAGGCCTCAAACCAAAACAAACGTGACTCGCAGAGCGTGATATCGACACTAGACAAAACTATAAGCATTCAATTTCCTAAACAAAGCAAAACTAAGTGACCTTTTAATCTAAAGATTTCAAGCTATTGTTCTAAACTGTATTCAAAAAGCTTCAGGGGCAATGCCCAGTCATTGCTGCGTCTACGATTGTAAAATGAAAGGGTATAGAGGCGATGATGGCAACAAGATCTCTTTCTATAAATTCCCTACGGAAAACGTTTTAAAATCAAAGTGGAAACATGCCATTAGAAGAGAAGAGGATCTACACTTTAAGATAACAGAGTCGACAAAAGTCTGTTCGAGACATTTTAGAGAAAGCGACATTAGGAAAACACTAGCAGGAAAGTGTCTTTTGAAGTTAGACGTGGTACCTTCGCTGTTTCCTTGGATGCGTACAGCACCACGTAAAAGAGAGCCACCAAAGGAAAGATCTTGCACTGCAGTTATCAGTGAATCACAGAATGCAGAGGAAGAGAATATTGTGGATCAAATCGAGGAATTCAGTGAAGTCTCAGAAGATGTTCCATTAATATTTGTCGACATTGCCACTCAGACTGATTGCGATGCAAACGAGTTCGAAGCCATTGTCAGAGAGATCACAATTAGAGGTGAGAAGATTTAAGTTATCGAGAGAGAACTAAATGAACTTCAAAAACAAGTGAAAGAATTAGAAGAAAACAATGGAAAGCTTCAGCTAAAACTTTTTTCGCTCGATAACTTAATGTCAGACGATAAAGCGGCACATTTTTATACCGGGTTCGAGAATTGGGACGCGTTTATAGTCATCTACAGATATCTTAAACCAGGCCAAAAAGGGGAAAATATTAGGTACTGGAATGCATCTAACACAAATGTTTCTACTGGTGAAATAGATAAAGACAGAGGAGGAAGACCAAGGACACTAAATCCTTTACAAGAGTATTTTTTAGTAATGTGTCGTCTTAGGCAAGGATTTCCTGAACAACATCTAGCTCATTTGTTTGACATATCCTTGTCAACTGTGAGTAGAACGTTCATTACGTGGCTTAACTTCATGTTTTTGAAGCTAGGCGCTGTGAATATATGGCTATCACGACAGGCAGTTGACAGTACTATGCCTGAAGATTTCATTAAGAAATATGCATCGACTAGAGTGATCACCGATTGTACTGAGATTAAGTGCCAAATGCCAAGCAGCCTTCAATTGAATGGAGAACTTTTCAGTAGCTACAAAAATCACACGACATTGAAAGGCTTGATTTGTATTTCACCTGGTGGAACTTTTACTTTTGTAAGTCAATTGTACACTGGCAGTATTTCTGACCGAGAAATTTTGATGAGAAGTGGTTTCTTGGATCTACCCTTTGACAACAATGACTCAGTAATGGCTGACAAAGGTTTCACCATAGAAGATATTGTACCTTTAGATGTATCCCTAAATTTACCCTCCTTTCTTGGAAGCTCAGCACAGATGTCTTCTGAGGACGTCATWAAGACACAAGAAATTGMTGGACTCAGGATTCAATTGATACACAATTGATACAAAACATTTTGGCAGAGAAATGACTCCAATTAGGTAGTTTTATAAAAAACAAACCAACAGTGTTCACTTAGAACACATATAACCATTGACAACAATATAAGTTTATACTATAAAACTACATTTCTATATTTATCAAGAGATTTGAAGTACTTTTGTATCAAAGTCTATTAGTATGAAGTATTACTAAATTATGCACATTTTCTATAACAAACAGTACATCATAAACCCTTAGTATATTAGTTTACGATGAAGCTGAAGCATACTTAATAAAATGTTCAAAATAGTATCCATGTAGTTTTGATTTTAACTCATCCCAAAAATCTTCATTTCTTATTCTCTGTACATAAAGTACAACCTTTGTATAGCCAATGAAATCGCACCATTCTGCTCCAGTAATTTTTTGAACAATTTTTTGAAAAATAACTAGTGAGCAGCACGGAGTGTAAACTTTAGTAAACTTTATTATCCTTTTTTTGAAAAATAACTAGTGAGCAGCACGGAGTGTAAACTTTAGTAAACTTTATTATCCTACGCGTTTCGACTGTGTACACAGTCTTCATCAGGGATAGTTTACAAGAGTTTATAGCTATTGTATATATAGTGTTCTACATGGGCGAGATAACTGAGGAATGCTATCTGGCGGAACAGGATATACGTGAATAACTAAATAACCACTACACCATAATAGTATGGGAGTGGTTTTAAGTTAAGTGGTTTTGGGGTCCGTGAGTTTAGCGCTAAACTCACGGACCCCAAAAATTTTTTTAACATAGTTTTGCGAGATTAGTGGTGGATTTGTAACAAACCACACAATCAAGTTCTGGCATAATACTGTTGATAACACGCTTAATGCGAGTGTGACTACAGTT